TGAGAACAATGTAACTCAGACAGTACCTCTCACACTGAATACTTTTTCAAAGACAACTAAGTAGCCAAGGTAACCAAACCTGTCTGGTCTTCTTTGGCAAGAATTGGACTTTGATAATAAAGGATCAAGCCATTCATTCAACAAACATTGAGCACCACCTACTGTGCCCTGTATGTCGTGCTAGGTTCTGAAAAGAGAACAATAAATAAGACAGGGCCCCTGTCCTCAAGGAGCTCATGATCTAGTGGGACACAGAGACAAGGAAGCAAATAACTATAATTCAGAGTACTGGGGTATAGGAGTCACATACAATAGTGACTGAGTAACTTGTGGGACTGGTTGGTAGCAATGGCAGAAAAGAAAAATGGTTTTTTTGAGGAAAGAGTCAGATCATATTTTACTTTATTTTTTTAAAATTTTTTATTCTTTTTTCTTTTTTCCATTCTTGCAGTAATGAGTGATTTATTTTACTTTAAAAAAAAAGGAGCAAGGCCAGGCGTGGTGGCTCACGCCTGTAATCCTAGCACTCTGGGAGGCTGAGGTGAGCAGATTGCTCGAGGTCAGGAGTTCGAAACCCTGAGCGAGACCCCGTCTCTACTAAAAATAGAAAGAAATTAATTGACCAACTAAAAATATATATACAAAAAAGAAAATTAGCCCGGCATGGTGGTGCATGCCTGTAGTCCCAGCTACTTGGGAGGCTGAGGCAGGAGGATCACTTGAGCCCAGGAGATTGAGGTTGCTGTGAGCTAGGCTGATCCTATGACACTCACTTTAGCCTGGGCAACAAAGTGAGACTCTGTGTAAAAAAAAAAAAAAAAAAAAAAGCAGCAATATGAATGTAACCTATAGATTTCTCACCTTCCTTACAGAGCTCACCTTCAGCTATCCTAGTGATTATAGATTTGGTCTATAATCAAGAAAAACAGGGCTGGGCACAGTGGCTCATGCCTGTGATCCTAGCACTCTGGGAGGCTGAGGTGGGCGGATAGTTTGAGCTCAGGAATTCTAGGCCAGCCTGAGCAAGAGCGAGACCCCATCTCTACTAAAAATAGAAAGAAATTAGCCAAACAACTAAAAATATATATGTAAAAACTTAGCCAGGCATAGTGGCGCATGCCTGTAGTCCCAGCTACTTGGGAGGCTGAGGCAGTAGGATTGCTTGAGCCCAGGAGTTTGAGGTTGCTGTGAGCTAGGCTGACGCCATGGCACTCACTCTAGCCCAGGCAACAGGGTGAGACTCTGTCTCAAAAAAAAAAAAGAAAAAAATGTTTTACTCTAGACAGTTATTAGCAGTATGACCTTATTTACTATGTCTGTCTTTTAGAAAAATGGCATTGGAGGTTTTTTTTTTTTTATCTTTTGGATCTAGCCAAAGCATCTGTACAGCACAACACATGTCTCTTTCATAGGCAGTAGATATTTTGGAGCAATGTTTCAAAGGAACTTTGAATTTTAGAAGTAAAGGTGTTTTGGGGCAAAGCTTATAAAATTCCAATTCCAGCTTTGCAGCTATCTCTATTCTTAAATCTGAACAAATATAAAAAAGGGAGTAGAAAAAAGGACAGAGGTCTCAGACTTAAGGTGGCTATCTTCCTTGATCCAATCATTCAACACACATTTCTAAGGGCTTGCCTACTATGTACTAGGCTCTAGGCACTGGATGAGTGTTCAGAGGCCAACAGGACAGATGTGGTTCTTGCCTTCCTGAAGCTTACAGTCTAGTAAGGCATGCAAACACTAGGCCAATGTGCCATAGAAAGGCATAGAAACTAGGCCATAGAAACAAGTGCACAATTATAAACTGTGATCAACTCTCTTGAATAAATAAGAGGGTGCCATGAGAGAAGTTAATAGGGAGTCTAACTCGGTTTAGGGAGCAGTCAGGGAAGATCTCGCTGGGGAAGTGGCTTTTGAGCTGACTCCCTAAGGATGAGTCAGATTTGTCTAGGGAAGAAGGTGGGGAGAGGGGTAGCTAAGCTTTCTAGACAGAGATCTGAAACCTATACTTTAAAAACAAAAAACAAAAGTATAAACCATACACCCCTCCCCCAAAAAGTTCCCTCTTTGTAATTTATTTTCCATTTTCAGATTTCAGTTCATGTTAATTTAACAAAAATGTGACTTTGTCTGTCACCTATACTCCCTCAACTCTTTCCCACCTCCCCTCCCAGGCTCTGCAGCCAAGCATTCAAAATGCAAGGAGGCTATATCAGTACATATGGATCTGCTTTACATAGTTTTTGTAAAATAAGGTTCATAATTTCATTTATGATCTCATACTGTTATGATAAGATTAGATAAATGAAAGTCATTTAGAACAGTGGGGGAAGTGTAAGGACACAATAAATGTCAACTTATTTCAGTTTTACTCCTGTACTATAATTTATTTACTAAGTTTCCTATTGATGGGTCATTATGTTGTTTCCAGTCTTTTGCTATTACTAACCATTCTGCAGTCTCTGAGATTTGACTGAGCAGAGTGACGGCACTACACGTAATTGTGTTGGCTCAGGCCTGCAGTTAAAGGCAAGCCAGGTGGTTGTGTTTCTGCTCTGGTTCTCCTAAGATTTACCTCTCACAGCAAAGCCAGCCAGCTGCCTTGTACTTAGTTTTGTTACCCATGTCTGTGCTCAGAAATTTCTAAACATTGTCCAGTTGAGACTGTGATAGGCAACAGTTCCAGAGCACTCTTCCCTTAACACACCCACACGCCCACAGATACAGCTGTGCCTCCGAAAACACTGCTGCATTCCCTCTCAGTTGCATAGCTTCCTTTATTAATTCTCCTCACTTGATTTCTGGAGTAGGAGTTAGAATACCTAGGTTCAAGTTCTTTTTTTTTTTTTTTTTTCCTAGGTTCAAGTTCTACCTCAATACTATTAATAATTACTTGTGTGACTTTGGATAAATCACTGACCCCTGGTGTCCTGAAGATCACTAGGCAAAACAAGTATAAGAGTGTAAATAGTGGGTTGAGAGATTTCATCCTTTCCTGTCTCCAATGCAATCAGTGCCTTGTACTATTCGGGTTCTGCCATTTCCTTTTTTTTTTTTGAGATGGTCTCCCTCTGTTGCCTGGGCTAAACTGCAATGGCATTATCATAGCTCACTGCGACCTTGAACTCTTGGGTTCAAGTGATCCTCCTGCCTTACCCTCCTGAGTAGCTGGGGCTATAGGCTCTATGCCAACATGCCTAGCTAATTTTTCTATTTTTTGTAGAGACAGGGTTCTACCATGTTGCTCAGGCTGGTCTCCAACTCCTGGGCTTAAGTGATCCTTCCTGTCTCAGCCTCCCGAATAGTTGAAAGTGTGACTGACTGCCAGTGTGAGCCAGTGGGCCAGGCTAAAAAATTCTTTCTTTCATCATCCTTACACATGAAAGAGACCACTGTCTTGTTCATTGTCTTAACTCAGGTGCATAGCCCAGTGCCTGACATAAATATACTTTGTTAAATAAATAGACTGTTTTTCAGAGGAGTGACTGGTTGTAATTCTGAAACTGTAACTCCCATATGGGGTGATGAACTCAACCTAGAGTCAGCCTTATTGGTGCAAAGGAGAAAATAACCTACTTGAGATATGGACTCAAATACCAGGGGTATTTCTCTGAGTCTCACCAAGGGCAGGCTGAAGTTCCTATTGCATTGCTGCAGAAATGAGGTGAGGTCAGATGTTGCTCAAGAAATCCTAGAATGAGGCAGGCATGGTGGCTCACACTTGTAATCCTGGGACTTTGGGAGACCCAGCTGGGAGGATTGCTTGAGGCCCAGAATTGGATGGAGACCAGTCTGAACAAGAGGGAGATATCATCTCTACAAAAAATAGAAAAAGAAAAAAAAATTAGCCAGGCTTGGTGTGGTGGCACGCACCTGTAGTCCTAGCTACTGGATAGGCTGAGGCAGGACGGTTTGAGGCAAGGAGTTGGAGGTTGTAGTGGACTGTGATAACGTCACTGCACTCTAGCCCAAGCACAGAGTGAAACCCTGTCTCAAAAAAAAAAAAAAAAAAAAAAAAAAAAAAAATCCTGGAAGCCACAGCATTCTCAGTTGTCTAAAGACTCTTGCCTTGGGTCTCTCTGGGCAGGTTTCAGGGCTTTAGCCTCAGGACTAGCTGTGACACTATCTTGTTCGTTGGGTCCATTTTGGAATATTTATCTTTGGTTTGAAATGATGCAGAAACATACCAGATCCAGCCCTGCCTTCCCTGGGCCCCACTATCCCCCCAAACTGACTCTAAGACTGGACCCTGAATCCTGAACCCTGTGAAACCCCCAAGCTCTTGGCTGTGCTTGCCCGAGTGAGAATCAAAGGATTGCAAAGGCTGTGTGATTCTTGAATGAGCTTTGAAATCGGCTGTCGTTTTTGTGCGGATTAAAATTAGCTACACTGGCGGTGGGTTATAGAATACAGCCTGCAGGCAGGGAGAGAGAGACCGCCGCGATTAACTGCGTTCGTTCCTTCCACCCGAGCACGCCGGGCCTCGCAGGCAACCTTTCCAGGGTCTTTCAGTCTGCAAGGGACGAGGAAACCGGAGGGGATAGTGGGTTCCTCACACTAGGTGGTAGTGGCAAGCTAACCCTACGAGAGGTGCCAGTCGGCAGCCAATTCGCAGAAGAATGTGTTCTCGTCCTCCTCCACGGATGTTAACCTCATGAAATGCACACTCGTTTCCCCCTTTCCCTCCCGCGGTCCGGAGGGGCCCTCGGTGCAGCCGCAGCCCCCCTCGGGCTCCTCGCTGTCTCCCCCTCCCGGCCGGCGTGTCCGGCTGCGAGCCCGCGCCGCCGCCCGTGAGTGAATGAGACGCACAGTTACTCAATGGAGCCGCGGGGGGCCCGGGCGGACGCCGCGCGGCCGCGGCGCTGGCGGTGAGCCGGCAGCGGGGCGCCTCTTCCTCCCGGCCTCCCTCTCGCCGCGGCCGCTCCTCAGGAGCCGGGCGAGAGGCCGCCGCGCGGGTCGCAGGGCCCGCAGCCCCGAGGACGGCCAGACCGGGCGGCCCCGCGGCGCCGTCACGTCCCGGCGGAGCGGGAGCGCGGCCGAGGCGGCCTTCGGGAACGGGCGCTGGCCGCTGCGGCCCTCCGCCCTGGGCCTCGCAAGTTCTTGATTTTATATTCCCTTTTTAATATTAAAAAAATTCTCTTTTTTAATCCCGGCGGCTCACAGCTCCTGCCTGCACTTCTTTTATCACCCGGGGGAGGAAGGGGAGTGTGAGGAAAGGAGCGAAGAAAATAAAAAAGGATTTCCTCCCGGAAGAGAGCGGCAGTTGGGAGAGATTTTTCTTAAGGAGGCAGAAGCGGCGTTTGCAGCCGCCGCGGGCGCCGGGCCTCGCCGGCCCGACCATGCGCGATCCGGCCGCGGGCTGCTGAGGCGGCGGACGCGGAAGCGGAGGCCGAGCGCCAGGGCCGGAGCGAGTTCTGCCCGCCGTGCGGCGGCGGCGGGGGGATGGAGCCTGCGGCCGCGCCCCGGCCCGACATGGCGCCGGAGCTGACCCTGGAGGAGGAGCAGGTAAGCGGGGCCGCGGCCGCGCGGTGGGTGTGTCCGGGCCCCCGAGGCCTAGGCCGGCCTTTACCTTACGACGCCAGGCTATTCGCAGCCCAGGGGCCACAGCGCCCCCGCCCCCGCCAGGCCCGCAGGCTGGCCCTCGGCGGCGACCGCGCCCCAGGCCGTCATGCCCTCCGCGGGGGGCTCCGCGGCACCCGGCTGCTCCTAGCCCCTTCTGCCGGCGAGGCTCGCGGGCCTCAGACTGCCCTCTTCCCACGCCCCATTCCGGTGGTAAAGTTCCTCGAACTGGGGGCCTGCTCCCCCGACGTTCGCAAAACCGCTGCTTGCCCCCGGTCCTTCCACTCCTTTATAAATGTTTTCCATAAGGGTTTTTTAAGGGCAGGAGAAGCCCCAGTTTGGGGGGAAGAGTTTCCGTGCGGATTATCTCCCTCCTCAAGGAGAGCAGGGATAGCACTGGATACATAGATGTCCTAGATTTTCAGATGAGCCCCTCTGGCTTCTCAGGGGGCTGTGGCAGGCCTGCTTGGGCAGATTCGGGAAGATCCAGCTCTTCTCATGCTCCTGAAGTCCCTGGCCTTGACCTCCCTATTCAGCTGTCCCAGATTAGGCGCATCTCTTCACTCTCACTTCCCTACCCCCATCTCGTCTTCCTAACTCCATCTTTCCGAAGCTTACTTTGGCCCTTAAAGCTTATGACCTTTAGTTCCCAGAAGGAAGTGGTTTGCGGTGTCATTTTGTGGGGTTGGGTAAGGGAAAAGCCCAGGGCCCTTATAACTTTCCCTCCCCCGCATTCCAGCTGTAGAGACAGGGACCACTCCTTCCGGAAGATAGGGAAGTCCGCTGGCTGAGATTGGGAACCCTAAGGGCTTTTTGCTGTTCCTTGGCATTGCCCATACCCAGCCATTGCTATGCTCAAATATAGCCACGGTCTGATTCCATGTTAAAAAAAAATTTAAAATGTGGGGGAAAAAAGATGAACTGTGGTGGTAATCCATTTCAACCTCTCCACCCCTTTTTCCCAAGGACCACATTTGCTAGCAGTCTCCAGCGTGAAGACAGTCTGGTTTTACTGTTATTGGTTAGTAGGCTTGTTTAAGATATGATTTTCAAAAAGCTGTTCGCTTTTCTCTTCATTTGTAGAGATGACATTTTTAATATCTTCAAAAGGCAGATTTGCAGTCTTGCCTTTTGAAGCCTTGAGATAAAATCAGCATGGGAAAAAAAAAATAGAAGTATTCTGCTTTGTACAAGCAGTGGTACTGTCCTGGTAACTGCAGTTGGATGTTAGTAAAATGCTAGTCAAATCCTAGTGCAAGTAGGTGGCCCAAGGAGCCCATCCTGCCAGAATTAGGAAATACTCCAATAGTAAGGTATGATGTGTTAGGTTGATTTTAAAAGGGTAGGTCTTTCATCCTTTTTTCCTTGAGTCAGATTTGAAGTTTCTGTTTCTAAGAGTTAAAGGCATCAGCATTTTATAAAAATGGCATTAGGTTGCAAATTTAAAAGTTAAAACCAGGGAAAGTAAATATTAAGGTATTGATAGTACTGACAAAGTATTGGCTTTACTCTGTATATAATGTGTATATATAGAGAGAGTTGTGTTACTTAACTAGTAAAAACCTTTCATAGTCAAATGAGTGTGATGGGCATTAACAAGGACTGGATGGAAACAGTAAAATAATTAAGGTCAATAGATTTTGTGTTTTTAAAAAATCATACCTTTCTTTCCTACAAAATGCCATATTTTCTACAGGCATTTCAAAATGTTGAAACAAACATAAAAGCAGCTTAGTTCTAATTATGATAATGTCTGGTACCATATTTTAGTTTAATATCACATAAGAGTACTCTTAACTATAAGATCTTTTTAAAATACATAAACAGCAGCAAATGCATTTTAGTCTCAAAATGGTCCTCGTGGGAAATGACATATTCATTCCATAATGCTACCCTGTTGCTCAAACCAATTTTTAAAACTGATTTGGAGTTGAATTTAAAACTTGTCACAAAATCTTTGAAAATTTCTTCAGTGTTGGAAAATCCTTGTACTTTGGAGAGTCAGTTTGATTTTTGGAAATAGCAAAAAAACTTTTTTTTTTTGAGACAGAGTCTCACTCTGTTGCCCTGAGTAGAGTACCTTGGCGTCAGCCACAGCAACCTCAGACTCCTGGGCTCAAGTGATCCTCCTGCCTCAGCCTCTGAGAGTAGCTGGGAGTACAGGCACGTGCCATGACACCTGGATAATTTTTCTGTTTTTAGTAGAGATGGGGTCTTGCTCTTGCTGTTCTCCAACTCCTGAGCTCCAACAGTCCTCCTGCATTGGCCTCCCAGAGTGGTAGGATTACCGCTGTGAGCCACGGGCGGGGGGCCGCGCTACTCTCATATCCTTACAGGACTTTAGTTTCCTATCTGGTCAATCTGTGCTCAGAAGCCAATGTCAAATTGGAAATCTGATTGTATCTTCCCCTCAGGCTGCCTGTCCCCACAATAAGCATTCTTGGCTTGGCTCTAATCCTAGCAATCTGGGAGGCCAAGGCTGGAGGATTGCTCAAGGTCAGGAGTTCGAGACCAGCCTGAGCAAGAGTCTATTTTCTACAAAAATAGAAAGAAATTAGCTGAACAACTAAAAAAGTAGCCAGGCACGGTGGCACATGCCTTTAGTTCCAGCTACTTGGGAGGCTGAGGCAGAAGGACTGCTTGAGCCCAGGAGTTTGAGGTTGCTGTGAGCTAGGCTGATGCCACTGCACTCTAGCCCAGGCAACAGAATAAGACTCTGTCTCAAAAAAAAAAAAAAAGACATTGCTCATTTTGATATTTTTTCCCTTCAGATGGGATGTAATATGTATGTTTTGATATATTTTTTAAAGATCATCATCATTATTTTGTAGTGTTGTTTCCTATCTAGGCATGTGTTGTATTGATACAAGTCCTCATTTGTAACTTTGATGTATCTTGCCTTTATTTTATTCAGTTTATCAATGATTATAGAGCCTACAATTGGTTTATAAGAACAAATATGATTTGCCTTTAAGGAGCTTATATGAATAACAACAAAGTAATAATAGTAACTGTTTCCTGAGCTCCTGCTTTGAGTCAGGCTCTGACCTGGGTATTTCACATATAGTTACTCCTCCTAAGATTAGAATTATTGCCCTCATTTTGTCAACAAGAAAACTCTGGACCGAGCGAAGGAAATTGCCTAGGTCACATACCGTGTTTCCTCGAAAATAAGACAAGGTCTTATATTTTTTTTCCTCAAGAAGACACCGTAGGGGATATGTTATTTTATTTAAGTATGGTATAACAATCTACATTTATTCAAATATAGCTAAGTTGTTGTCTTCTGTAACATTATCATAACTCGCCAAACCCCTAATTCCATCCTGAATTTCTTACGACTCTATTTCCTTTAGAACTATTGGTCCCAATCTCTCATGTCGAGCAATAGAGCTCTCATGGGCAGATGAGAAGGGCTGCTCCTCTTCTTTCTCAGGGAGGAAATGCATGGGTTGTGCAGATACGCCCATCATTAGGTCTTATTTTCGGGGTAGGGCTTCTATTGTGCAAATGCTTAGAAATCCTGCTAGGGCTTATTTTATGGGTAGGTCTTATTTTTGGGGAAATGTGGTAGTTAACAAGTGATGGAGCCATGATTTCCATATAGGTCTAGGTTATTCTGCCTCCACTGTCAATGTTTCCTGTATTATACTGTATTATTTCCCATGAAGCCATTAGCCAATTTTACTCACATGTCTAAGTGGGTATAAAATAGCTAACTTTGTGGGTTTTATTATTGATATATACGTAACTGGTTTTGGTCATGCTTCTTAAAATATGGTTTAAAAGGGGCAGAGGAAAAGATTTAGAAAACCTTTACTCAGAACTAAATATTGCCAGCAGAAACATATCATATCCTCTATGTAAGAAATTGTGATGAAATTATTCTTGGAAGAAAATTTGTTCCTTAAAATAGAGTTGGAAACTCTTCATTTCAAGGTGTGGTCACAGTCACTATAAAATTTTATTTTCGGCCGGGCTCGGTGGCTCACGCCTGTAATCCTAGCACTCTGGGAGGCTGAGGGGCCCCCCCCCCATTGCTCAAGGTCAGGAGTTAGAAACCAGCCTGAGCAAGAGTGAGACCCCGTCTCTACTATAAATAGAAAAAAATTAATTAGCCAACTAATATATATAGAAAAAATTAGCCAGGCATGGTGGCGCGATGCCTGTATCCCAGCTACTTGGAGCTGAGCAGGAGAGGATCACTTGAGCCCAGTAGTTTGAGGTTGCTGTGAGCTAGGCTGACGCCACGGCACTCACTCTAGCCTGGGCAACAAGTGAGACTCTGTCTCAAAAAAAAAAAAAAAAAAAATTATTTTCTTTGTATCTGTCTTTTATACAAGAGAAATAACTATTCTTGTAGCCAAATATGAATAGTAGTATTTCTCTAAACTATAAAAACCAATGAGTTTTTGTGTCACTGATATATTCCCTTTTTGATATGTTTATGTGTAAATCTAACAGCCTTTCTTATATGGGGTGGAAATTTGGCAATGTGAAAGATAATTTCTACATATTACCATTAACCTTCATTCTCATTATATTATTCTTTTTTTGTTTGTTTGTTTCAAAGTTATAATGCATGGTTTAAAAAAGAGGAAAGGGCTGGGAGTGGTGACTCATGCCTGTAATCCTAGCACTCTGGGATGCTGGGAGTGGGGGATCGCTTGGAGGGCAGGAGTCGAAACCAGCCTGAGCAAGAGCAAGACCGCATCTAATAAAAATAGAAACAAATTAATGGCCAACAAAAAATATAATAGAAAAAATAGCCGGGCATGGTGGCCGCGATGCCGTAGTGCCAGCTACTCGGGAGGCTGAGGCAGAAGGATCGTTTGAGCCCAGGAGTTTGAGGTTGCTGGGAGCTAGGCTGATGCCGTGGCACTCTAGCCAGGGGCAACAGAGCAAGACTCTGTCTCAAAAAAATAAAGAAAAATAAGAGAGAAAGC